TTCAGGACACATGGGGCCATCAGTCTGATAGGCTGAAGGAGAGGGTATCAGGATTCAGGACACATGGGGCCATCAGTCTGATAGGCTGAAGGAGAGGGTATCAGGATTCAGGACACATGGGGCCATCAGTCTGATAGGCTGAAGGAGAGGGTATCAGGATTCAGGACACATGGGGCCATCAGTCTGATAGCTGAAGGAGAGGGTATCAGGATTCAGGACACATGGGGCCATCAGTCTGATAGGCTGAAGGAGAGGGTATCAGGATTCAGGACACATGGGGCCATCAGTCTGATAGGCTGAAGGAGAGGGTATCAGGATTCAGGACACATGGGGCCATCAGTCTGATAGGCTGAAGGAGAGGGTATCAGGATTCAGGACACATGGGGCCATCAGTCTGATAGGCTGAAGGAGAGGGTATCAGGATTCAGGACACATGGGGCCATCAGTCTGATAGGCTGAAGGAGAGGGTATCAGGATTCGGGACACATGGGGCCATCAGTCTGATAGGCTGAAGGAGAGGGTATCAGGATTCAGGACACATGGGGCCATCAGTCTGATAGGCTGAAGGAGAGGGTATCAGGATTCAGGACACATGGGGCCATCAGTCTGATAGGCTGAAGGAGAGGGTATCAGGATTCAGGACACATGGGGCCATCAGTCTGATAGGCTGAAGGAGAGGGTATCAGGATTCAGGACACATGGGGCCATCAGTCTGATAGGCTGAAGGAGAGGGTATCAGGATTCAGGACACATGGGGCCATCAGTCTGATAGGCTGAAGGAGAGGGTATCAGGATTCAGGACACATGGGGCCATCAGTCTGATAGGCTGAAGGAGAGGGTATCAGGATTCAGGACACATGGGGCCATCAGTCTGATAGGCTGAAAGAGAGGGTATCAGGATTCAGGACACATGGGGCCATCAGTCTGATAGGCTGAAGGAGAGGGTATCAGGATTCAGGACACATGGGGCCATCAGTCTGATAGGCTGAAGGAGAGGGTATCAGGATTCAGGACACATGGGGCCATCAGTCTGATAGGCTGAAGGAGAGGGTATCAGGATTCAGGACACATGGGGCCATCAGTCTGATAGGCTGAAGGAGAGGGTATCAGGATTCAGGACACATGGGGCCATCAGTCTGAGAGGCTGAAGGAGAGGGTATCAGGATTCAGGACACATGGGGCCATCAGTCTGAGAGGCTGAAGGAGAGGGTATCAGGATTCAGGACACATGGGGCCATCAGTCTGAGAGGCTGAAGGAGAGGGTATCAGGATTCAGGACACATGGGGCCATCAGTCTGAGAGGCTGAAGGAGAGGGTATCAGGATTCAGGACACATGGGGCCATCAGTCTGATAGGCTGAAGGAGAGGGTATCAGGATTCAGGACACATGGGGCCATCAGTCTGATAGGCTGAAGGAGAGGGTATCAGGATTCAGGACACATGGGGCCATCAGTCTGATAGGCTGAAGGAGAGGGTATCAGGATTCAGGACACATGGGGCCATCAGTCTGATAGGCTGAAGGAGAGGGTATCAGGATTCAGGACACATGGGGCCATCAGTCTGATAGGCTGAAGGAGAGGGTATCAGGATTCAGGACACATGGGGCCATCAGTCTGATAGGCTGAAGGAGAGGGTATCAGGATTCAGGACACATGGGGCCATCAGTCTGATAGGCTGAAGGAGAGGGTATCAGAATTCAGGACACATGGGGCCATCAGTCTGATAGGCTGAAGGAGAGGGTATCAGGATTCAGGACACATGGGGCCATCAGTCTGATAGGCTGAAGGAGAGGGTATCAGGATTCAGGACACATGGGGCCATCAGTCTGATAGGCTGAAGGAGAGGGTATCAGGATTCAGGACACATGGGGCCATCAGTCTGAGAGGCTGAAGGAGAGGGTATCAGGATTCAGGACACATGGGGCCATCAGTCTGAGAGGCTGAAGGAGAGGGTATCAGGATTCAGGACACATGGGGCCATCAGTCTGAGAGGCTGAAGGAGAGGGTATCAGGATTCAGGACACATGGGGCCATCAGTCTGAGAGGCTGAAGGAGAGGGTATCAGGATTCAGGACACATGGGGCCATCAGTCTGATAGGCTGAAGGAGAGGGTATCAGGATTCAGGACACATGGGGCCATCAGTCTGATAGGCTGAAGGAGAGGGTATCAGGATTCAGGACACATGGGGCCATCAGTCTGATAGGCTGAAGGAGAGGGTATCAGGATTCAGGACACATGGGGCCATCAGTCTGATAGGCTGAAGGAGAGGGTATCAGAATTCAGGACACATGGGGCCATCAGTCTGATAGGCTGAAGGAGAGGGTATCAGGATTCAGGACACATGGGGCCATCAGTCTGATAGGCTGAAGGAGAGGGTATCAGGATTCAGGACACATGGGGCCATCAGTCTGATAGGCTGAAGGAGAGGGTATCAGGATTCAGGACACATGGGGCCATCAGTCTGAGAGGCTGAAGGAGAGGGTATCAGGATTCAGGACACATGGGGCCATCAGTCTGAGAGGCTGAAGGAGAGGGTATCAGGATTCAGGACACATGGGGCCATCAGTCTGAGAGGCTGAAGGAGAGGGTATCAGGATTCAGGACACATGGGGCCATCAGTCTGAGAGGCTGAAGGAGAGGGTATCAGGATTCAGGACACATGGGGCCATCAGTCTGATAGGCTGAAGGAGAGGGTATCAGGATTCAGGACACATGGGGCCATCAGTCTGATAGGCTGAAGGAGAGGGTATCAGGATTCAGGACACATGGGGCCATCAGTCTGATAGGCTGAAGGAGAGGGTATCAGGATTCAGGACACATGGGGCCATCAGTCTGATAGGCTGAAGGAGAGGGTATCAGGATTCAGGACACATGGGGCCATCAGTCTGATAGGCTGAAGGAGAGGGTATCAGGATTCAGGACACATGGGGCCATCAGTCTGAGAGGCTGAAGGAGAGGGTATCAGGATTCAGGACACATGGGGCCATCAGTCTGAGAGGCTGAAGGAGAGGGTATCAGGATTCAGGACACATGGGGCCATCAGTCTGAGAGGCTGAAGGAGAGGGTATCAGGATTCAGGACACATGGGGCCATCAGTCTGATAGGCTGAAGGAGAGGGTATCAGGATTCAGGACACATGGGGCCATCAGTCTGATAGGCTGAAGGAGAGGGTATCAGGATTCAGGACACATGGGGCCATCAGTCTGATAGGCTGAAGGAGAGGGTATCAGGATTCAGGACACATGGGGCCATCAGTCTGAGAGGCTGAAGGAGAGGGTATCAGGATTCAGGACACATGGGGCCATCAGTCTGAGAGGCTGAAGGAGAGGGTATCAGGATTCAGGACACATGGGGCCATCAGTCTGATAGGCTGAAGGAGAGGGTATCAGGATTCAGGACACATGGGGCCATCAGTCTGATAGGCTGAAGGAGAGGGTATCAGGATTCAGGACACATGGGGCCATCAGTCTGATAGGCTGAAGGAGAGGGTATCAGGATTCAGGACACATGGGGCCATCAGTCTGAGAGGCTGAAGGAGAGGGTATCAGGATTCAGGACACATGGGGCCATCAGTCTGAGAGGCTGAAGGAGAGGGTATCAGGATTCAGGACACATGGGGCCATCAGTCTGAGAGGCTGAAGGAGAGGGTATCAGGATTCAGGACACATGGGGCCATCAGTCTGAGAGGCTGAAGGAGAGGGTATCAGGATTCAGGACACATGGGGCCATCAGTCTGATAGGCTGAAGGAGAGGGTATCAGGATTCAGGACACATGGGGCCATCAGTCTGATAGGCTGAAGGAGAGGGTATCAGGATTCAGGACACATGGGGCCATCAGTCTGATAGGCTGAAGGAGAGGGTATCAGGATTCAGGACACATGGGGCCATCAGTCTGATAGGCTGAAGGAGAGGGTATCAGAATTCAGGACACATGGGGCCATCAGTCTGATAGGCTGAAGGAGAGGGTATCAGGATTCAGGACACATGGGGCCATCAGTCTGATAGGCTGAAGGAGAGGGTATCAGGATTCAGGACACATGGGGCCATCAGTCTGATAGGCTGAAGGAGAGGGTATCAGGATTCAGGACACATGGGGCCATCAGTCTGAGAGGCTGAAGGAGAGGGTATCAGGATTCAGGACACATGGGGCCATCAGTCTGAGAGGCTGAAGGAGAGGGTATCAGGATTCAGGACACATGGGGCCATCAGTCTGAGAGGCTGAAGGAGAGGGTATCAGGATTCAGGACACATGGGGCCATCAGTCTGAGAGGCTGAAGGAGAGGGTATCAGGATTCAGGACACATGGGGCCATCAGTCTGATAGGCTGAAGGAGAGGGTATCAGGATTCAGGACACATGGGGCCATCAGTCTGATAGGCTGAAGGAGAGGGTATCAGGATTCAGGACACATGGGGCCATCAGTCTGATAGGCTGAAGGAGAGGGTATCAGGATTCAGGACACATGGGGCCATCAGTCTGATAGGCTGAAGGAGAGGGTATCAGGATTCAGGACACATGGGGCCATCAGTCTGATAGGCTGAAGGAGAGGGTATCAGGATTCAGGACACATGGGGCCATCAGTCTGAGAGGCTGAAGGAGAGGGTATCAGGATTCAGGACACATGGGGCCATCAGTCTGAGAGGCTGAAGGAGAGGGTATCAGGATTCAGGACACATGGGGCCATCAGTCTGAGAGGCTGAAGGAGAGGGTATCAGGATTCAGGACACATGGGGCCATCAGTCTGATAGGCTGAAGGAGAGGGTATCAGGATTCAGGACACATGGGGCCATCAGTCTGATAGGCTGAAGGAGAGGGTATCAGGATTCAGGACACATGGGGCCATCAGTCTGATAGGCTGAAGGAGAGGGTATCAGGATTCAGGACACATGGGGCCATCAGTCTGAGAGGCTGAAGGAGAGGGTATCAGGATTCAGGACACATGGGGCCATCAGTCTGAGAGGCTGAAGGAGAGGGTATCAGGATTCAGGACACATGGGGCCATCAGTCTGAGAGGCTGAATCCTGGTAGCCTCTCCTTCACCTGCATGCGTCTTCTCCTTCTCTGCTTTTCCCACCTGAGCCCCTCTGTTGTTTTCACCTGAGGCAGGCCGGCAGCGCCGCCAATGACGGTGAGGGCCAGGGTGCGCACGCGGAAGGAGTCCACGTCAGCAGGCGGGGCGGCCTTCAGAGGCGCTATGCTGGGGGCGGCCGGCAGCATGAGCAGTTTGCCGCCCGCAACGAGGCTCTCCATGTGCGATGTGAACCTGGCTCTCTTCTCCCGTGCGTGTGCCACTGCCTCCCCCTGCGGGTCCACAGCGCTGGCAGCCTGGAAGCGCTGCGCCACTCCGGGACCAAAGGCGGGGCGGTGCGCTGTGATCCACTGCCCGTGGCACTGCCACGCCTCCATCAGCTGGGAAGGGGCGGGTGGGGGGGGGTGAAGTCAGAGAGAGACGAAGAGCAGGGAGACGAATTGTGATACATCTCAGAAGGGAGGGCTGTGCGCTGTGATCCACTGCCCGTGGCACTGCCACGCCTCCATCAGCTGGGGGATTGGGGGAGGGAGAACGGGAGAGAACGGGAGCGGAGGAAAAGGAAGGAATGTGATATTTGAGACTGTTGTAGAAATCAGGGTGGTGAAACGTGATCCACTGCCTGTGGCACTGACACACCTCTATCAGCTGGAGGGGAGAGGAGAAGGGGAGAGAAGGCCACTTGTGCGCCCTCACCACATTCACCAGTTGTATCATTTGAACAACTAAAACATCGCTGCTGCACCTCTGCTCACCTGCAGCACCCTCATGGCGTCCACCCACTCGTGCACGCCTCCCACCTCGCTGCCCTCCTCCCCCGCCACCCGCATCTCCTCCGGCCGCCCGCCCAGCAATGCTGCGATCTCGTCTATATGTGGCGAGATCTTGTCGTAGATTGCGCGGGCGGCGTCTTTGTCTGCTAGCTCAAACGCGTCCTCCGCCACCAGCCAGCCGGTGAAGGGGCGGAGGGAGGAGGGGGAGGAGGAGGAGGAGGATGATGGGGAAGAGGAAGTGGAGGAGGGGGAGGGGGCAAGGGAGGGGGAGTGGAAGAGTGTGGAGCCGACTCGTTGAAGGACAGAGGCATCGCGCGCAAACCAGCCCACTGCGGTGTGGTGGGGTGGGGAGACACAAAAAAGGGGGGGAAAGGGTGGGGTGAGTGTTGGGAGGAGGAGGGCGAGGAAGGAAGGATGGGAAAGAGCGAGTGTGTGATGATTTCACGCACATGCACACATAGTCACGCACATTCATGCATAGTCACGCACAGGCACACATGAGCACGGCACGTGAAGCCACCGCGCCTCTCACCGGTGTCCATGGATGGCTGCAGGGGCTGAGCGCCGGTGAGCGGCAGGCGGGCATGGGAGGTGCGGATGCCCCACACGCCGCAGTGGTTGGCGGGTATGCGCACCGACCCCGCTGTGTCGCTGCCCAGGGCGAAGTCCACCAGCCCCGCTGCCACCTGCCAAGGGGAGGATTGGCGGAGTGGGGAATGTAAAGTCCACCAGTTGCCTTCAGGGGTCCACTGTGGTGCTGGTGGGGTGTGCGCCCCTTCCACACAGCCAATGGGTGGGGAGCGGTGCAGGAAGGTGAAGAGCGTGTCAGAACAAGGAGGGACGGCAGAGACAGTGGAAACACAAGAGGCACGGGAGCAGAGGGCAGGTACTGAGGACAAGCAAAGCCACCCACCGCAGCAGCGGAACCCGAGGAGGAGCCGCCCGGGATGCGGAGAGGGGCTTTTGGGTTGAGGGGCGTGCCGTAGTGCGCGTTCTCCCCCGCCAGCGAGAATGCCAGCTCGTCCATTGCCGCCTTGCCCACCACGCTGGCGCCCGCTTCTAGCAGCGCCTGGGTGGTGGGGGAATGGTTGTGAGGGGTGCAGAGCAGTGCAAGGGATTGGATGGTGACTTATGCGTGGTAGAAAGGGGATGGGTTTGAGAGGAGGTGAGATGAGGGGTGGATGCATGCAGGAAAGGAAGGAATGAGGCATAGAAATGCACATGCTCGTGCACCTGCACGACGGGGGCGGTGGCCTGGGGGACGTCATGCGTGGCGAGCCACGTGGGGTTGCCGAAGCCCGTTGGCACGCCCGCCACCTGCGCGCACACGTGCACGCATGCGGCCACAGCAGAGAGTGGGGAGAGGGGAGTGGTGAGCACTGTGAGAAGAGGGAGGCAGGCACGGCGATTCATTCTCTCAAGCCGCTTCGCCGCAGCATTGCATGCCTAGACACGCGCCACCATCCAGTGCCGGCCATTGCACGTCGCACGTGGATCTGTCTCACCACCGCCCCCCACCTTCCCCTCGCCCCCCCACGCACGTCGTACATGTCCTTGACGGCGAACGTCAGCCCGCGCAACGGCCCGTCAGTCGCGCCGGGCACCACGCACGCGCTGTGTTCCACAAACGCGCCCGCCTCCCGCCCCCTCGCTATGATCGCGTCCACGTCGGCTGGAAGCGCCCCGCTCGCCCTCGCGCGCACGACCCGCGCGGATTGGCGCCTAGACGAGAAGCGTGGGTTTCGTCGTGCATTGCGGGGATGCACTAAGGGAAACACTGAGTGACGCGGGAATGAGGAGGAAGCGAGAGAGGGGAGGGAAGGGAGGCGGGGAGCGGAAGGAGCGGCGTGCAAGCAGCGAAGCGACGCCGCTAAATGCGACGGCAAGGACATTGCGGCAGCTTCTAAACAGAATGACTAGTCAAAGGATAGAGTTATGGTGGTGATACGCGCTAGGAAAGCATTGAAAATGAAAATGCGGATTTCTTTGGCGGAGTGAAGTGATGGTGAATGTGGGGGGTTGGGCTGCTGCGACGGGAATTCGGCAGGGAAGTTGCTCGAAACACAGCTGTTAGAAGCTGCTTCGGAATTTGCATATGTTCGTGTACCCACTTGGTACGCGGCGATTATTGCCTCGGCCTTATTTCTAGAGCTCGTGTTGTGTAACGAAAGGGCCTTCTACCCGGAAATACCACAAGTGTCATACACTGCACTAGTCACTACCCAGAAAAAGACTAAACACATGTGATACAATAATCGACAAAACTAAGATCAGTTGATGGGTCAATGGACTATCCAATACAAATAGGTAAGCAGACAGCACTACGCACCTGGCTATCTGCTAACATTTGAACCAAAATTGATCTGGCACCAGCTAACCTGACAGCCAGATGTATAACAAGCTGCAACACCTCGACTGGAGCCCTTGATTGGAGCCCTTATCATGTTAGAGAGCAGACACCAAAGAACCAGTAGAAGCTTAGCGCCCTGTGTACTGCTGCATGGTGAAAAAGGAATGGTCTGGTAAGTTGGCATTGATATGCCTCAGCCACTGCTCCGCTGCTGCCTCTAGGCCCTGTATGCACCACCTATCTGACCACAAGTTTCCATGGGCCTTGTAACCAGTGAAACCAAATGGGGCCAAAGCTGTAGTGGAACTCCTTGACTGCAAATCACTGCCCCAGTGCATGGCCCCATGTTCTTCCTCAGGCGAACTCGGTGGTGGAGAGAACATGCAGGACTGAGGCAACTTCATGGGGGATATCCAATACTCATCGTTACAGCGAACGCAAGAACCTGCAGTGCATGAGAGAAGACGGCAATTTAGCTGCTGGCAGCTGATACACCTTCATGACAGACTGATAAGATTGTAATACAAGGCTCACCCGATAAAGATGGGCCTGGTGAAGAGAGACTGTGAAATGTCAAGAATGATGCCCCAAGATCACGAACACTTGGCCCAGCCGGAATCTTGTATAGTGGATACCTACACACAACAACAAACTCGTGAAATGCAGAACAATAACGTCATTGCCTTCCAGCAAACAAACGCCAAGACAGATTCCTGAATAACACTCATTCTTACCATGCAATAGCCATCCAGCTTCGTGGGTGTAAATCAATGCTGCGAAGGTGCCTGAGACAGGGAAACTCCCTCTCCAACTCTTCCACCTGCAACCAATGTCAGCGGAGGGCTTAAACAATGGGGGACACCAACCATAGCCTTCAAGCCAGAAATGCAAGTAACAAACCCTACCTTTGAGAAGAGTGGCAGCCGCACATGAGGAGGTGCTCTTTCGAAAAACTCCAGTAACAATCGACCCCCGTTACAGTCTCGACAGGCATCCCAAGACACAGCGGCACACTCGTCGACAGAGTTATGACCATCCAATCCTGAAAGAAGCTCTTCCATCATATGAAAGTGTGACGGGTGTATCTTGGAACCCCATGCGCCATCAACGGATGAATCTATCACACAGCCCTCGACTGCTTTTGCTACACCGTCAACTCCTCGACCCTCGTTCCTATCACTGCTCTCGCTGCTGTCACTACTGGAATCATGAAAGCTCACGTCACTGCAGTCACTGTCGGGGCCACTGTTCCTGTGGAACAAATATTGAGAACGGCATGAGGTGCCACACAAATATTGAAACCGAGAAAATCATATGGCTTTCCATTGAACTCGATATACATACCTCGACTCAGGTAACTGCCAGGAGCTGCTTCGCGCATATAGTTGCAAACCGGAAATGGAGGGCACGTAATATTGAGTTACATGCGTGCCATTAGCGAGTGAAATAGGAACTCCAGCCCCAAACGCGCTCCACTCCTCCAAAGAATCCCACAGATCTCCCAACGTATAAAACGCACAAGTTGAAGATTCGTGCCTTCCCGGGTGTGAAAAACGTTCCGATTCCTACAAAACGAGACACTATTGTCAGGAAAAAATGTGGATGTAAACGAGTGACAAAGGGATATTATCATACTGTCGTGAACATACCTTGTTAATATACTGAAGCTTTACTCGCGGAGTCACGTTAGAGATGAAACTTCCCAGATTTCGGCTTGCTATTCTTGCGGGTTCTATGCTATTCGACGTTACGGCTGCCTCAAAATCGTGTGAGCTATGAGCTGCAGGTACTCGCTCAGAGTCGTGCCTCTTCTGGTATCTAGGTCCACCTGCAAGCTTCTGCGTCTTTCCATGATATGCCTTTTGATGGAAATCTGCCTCCCTGCTCTTCCACGCCATAGCCTCTCTTTGATGACTTGTAACCCCTATGACTGCTCCAACCATGACCTATTCCCTTACACAAATAAATCTGTTGGACTTACGAGGGTACGGGTAGGACTAGTAACTAACTACAAGATTTCTAGGTTTGCCAAAGCTTGGGATTAGGCATGGGGGTGGCCTTTAGGCAGGAAGGGACTACTGTATCTCCAGCATGTGGTGGTGATGAGCACATGCTGCGAAACCCCAGCCCAGGAGGAATGGTCCATCCCAAACCCACGCTCATCACGCTCATCACCGTTTCCTCCCTTTCCTTCCCCCCATCCCATAATCCGAGAACGGGCAGGTGATTGGTTCGGCCCCGATTCGGTTCAAGCTGACCCGAAGACACAGCCAACGGAAAATCCTCTTGGGTGCCCCTTCAGCGATTTCTCCTGGAAACGCCTGACATGATCCAACGGCCAGAGTGAATCCATTCCGACACTGCGACAGCCACAACTTCCACCAGCGCCACTCACCTTTTGCCCCGGTGGCGGAAAAGTGGGCTCGCAAGTGTGGCGCGGAAGGCTAAGATTTGTGGGCGGAATTACGGGAATAATTTTTGTGGCAGCCAAACACCTTCTCCTATGTGGAAGCTGCGTTACAGTCACACGTTCGCGTTCCAAAACACGGCTATTTCGTGTAAGCCATAAATGTAGAAAATCTCACACAAGTCTGCATGCCTTGCTACTGTACTGTATTCACGAATTTATACAGAACAGTCATTTGCAAATCAATGAACGTTTTTAAAAGGTGCGTTGCGATTCAAAAAGGTTGAAACTGCTGTTTCAAGAGGGAAATTCAGTGGGCGAACCCACCACTGATGGGAAAGACGAACACCCCCTTTGGCGGGCCAGGCGGCATCAAACACCTCCCCGTCCCCACATCCCAGCTCCACTTCTTCCCCTTCTTCTCCCCCTCCTCCTTCCCATGGATATATCAGATGTGGTTTGCCGTAATGGATAACCAGAGCCTTGTATGGTACAGTACCTCGTCATCTTCGTGCTCAGGTTGCGTCGATCCTCAACATGCGTCAAATAGGGCGCGCATCTCGACAGTATCTGACATCCCTAGGAGGTGTTAGGTTTTAACTCTTCCACCTTGTTTCAGAACTCGATGTGAAGGGAAAAAGCCATGTGAATTAAGCATTCAATTTGATCCTTTTAGAACGTCCGAGTTTGTATTGTAGGCAACTTGTTAGCCCTAATAGTAGCGATGGGTCAGCAGCAATCTGCATCCCGCCGTCATCCACTGACATCGCGCCAATTGGCGGAATCAGGAAACAATGTGTCCAAGGCGGTGCGGCAGCACGTACTGCAGGGCGCAGCGATTGCCGGCAACCACCCAGACTCGTTGAATGAAAGCCCGAGGTCGGCCGCAGCTGTTGCAGCGGATGATCCTTTTTCCGCAAGCGGCGGGTTGATCGGAGGAGAGAGGTCGGCGGCGGATGACAGCGCGCGTGGAATGTCGGAGGTGTGCGGAATGTCGGTGCTGGAGGCGGTGGAGGGGCTGTCGGAGGCGGAGTTGATCGAGTTCCGCGACTGGATGACCTCCGCGTGGCGGTAAGCGACTGGATGACCACTGCTTGGCGGTAATTTTACCAGAAATTCGCGCTGGTCCTGTTAAAAGCCTCGACTTTGTCAGCCATGAGCCAGGAAATGACAAGGTGCGGCCTTGACGCGCTATTCCGCGTCAGTCTCCCACCTCACGGCCTCCTTATGTCTCGGAAATCGCAGTTCCATAATGCTTGGCAAATGAATCTTCCTCTTGGCTCTCCGTCGTGTCAAACTGCAGATGCGCCAAGTGCGGCAACGAGCGGGAGGACTGGACGAGGCGGCATCGCCTGAGAGCCATCTTCGACGCCGTGGGCATGCACCAACCGTCCTCTGCGCCTCTCGCGACAGAACAGCCTGCCTCCTCCTTGACTTTCCCCGCTCTGCCTGCTCCGCGCAGCCCTCTGCTTTCCCCCACTCCCTCCGCGACGCCGCCAGTTCCCCCCCGGCGTCCGCCAATGGGCAGTAACCGTCTATCTCCCGCCAATCCATCGGCCCTCCCGCCCCTGTCCCCCACGTTCGGGTCGAGCTTAGAAGCTCATCCGCGCTCGTTCGGCAGCGCGGAGGCCCACGGAAAGGCGCACTTCTCCCCGCACTCCGCGGCCGCACTCTCGCGCGCGCGCGACGAGGACGCGCAAGGCGCTACAGAGCAGGGGGGAGCTGGTAGCGGGCTGGCGGAATGTACAGAGGAGGAGGCGGGCGGGGGAACGGGAATGGCAGCGGGGGAGGCAGCGGAGGCGCGGACGGGATACAAGCTGTGGGGGCGCAAGGGCGGCAGCAGCCGCAACACAGACGCGCTCGCGCTCGCGTCACTCTCCGCCGCTGCAGCCGCCAGTGGGGGGAGTGGTGGCGGCGCTTCTGCTGCTGGTGGCGGGTTGGGTGGGACGGGCGGGGGCGGCATGCGCCCGCCGCCGTTGCGGCGCACTGTCACCGCCACCGCCGCCATGACCTCCTCCTTGCTCTCCGCCGCCGCCGCTGCCTTCGCGTCCCCCGCGCACGACCTCCGCCCCGCGCAGTCCTCCTCGTCGGGATCCATTCCGCTCAACCCCATCGTGCGCACGCGTGCAGCCAGTAACGACTCTGCTGCCACGTCAGCAGAGAGCGCAGGAGCTGTCCCGCCTTCCCGCTCGCCCGTTCTCTCCGCGGACAAGCCCGCCTCGGGGCCACTCAAGGCGTCGCTGTCCAGTTCCGCAGGCGACGCGGGGGATGTGCGCCCGCCCTTAGGCGCACAGCGGTTCGCGCTGGGCTTTTCCATCCCGCGCACCCACTCCGCTTCCCGCGCGCCCGCGTCGGGCGTTCCGTCATCCACCCCGCCACCTCCATTACCCGCGTCATCATCGCTGTCAGCCACGTCAGCAGCTGGGGCCACGAGCCTCCATAGGGGATTGTCGGGGAGGTTGAAGGGCGCGCTAGGCGGGCTCGGGGGCCTGAGGCGCGCGCGGTCGGATGCGGCGCAGCTGGCGGAAATGATGGCAGTGAGCGGGGACCTAGTCGGGGGGAACAGGGACGGGGGAGCGGATGGCGGTGCCGCCGTCGGGGGGCTGGGGGAGATTGAGCTGTTGGCGGCGACGGCAGAGGAGGGGGAGGGCGCGGAAGGCGGAAAGGGTGGCGCAGAGGGCGACAAGGGGGGGAGTGGGCTGGGCGGGCGGAGACGGCGAGGGCGGAAGAAGAGCTTGGGGCAGGTGGGGCGGAGCGTGAGTGTGCATGCGGGGGAGCAGAGCCCGTTCGGGGCGGGGAACGGCGAGTATGGGGGCGAGGGGGGGCGGAGCAGCGGCAGCAGCCAGCAGAGCCAGGCGCTTGGGGGGGCGAATGGGGGGACAGGACTGTCGGGTTGCCCCATGGGGATGGGCGCGGCGGCAGCGTCAGCAGCAGCAGCCGCAGCAGCAGCAGCAGCACGGGAGGGCGGCAGCGGGCGGCGCCCCATGCCGCGGTCGCGCAGCTATGAGACGGTGGCGCACGTGGAGTCCGACGGCGCGCGGGCGGGCGGCGGCGCTTGGGCGGGCCAGGGGGGCGAGCGGGGGGAGGGAAGTAAGGGGAGTCCGGGGAGAAGCAGTGGAGGGAGTGCGGGCGGGGAGGCGGGCAGGGGGGAAGCGGAGAGGGGCGAGGCGGGGAGGGAGGAGGGTGGGAAGGGGGAGGTGTCAATGGATCGCAAGATGCTGCGCGCCATCACCACGGCACAGATGCTGCTGCAGTCCGACCAGGTGCCGCATTGCACCACTCGTCATGGCACTCGTCATGGCACTCCTCATGGCACTCCTCATGGCAGTGCCCATGCCGTA